ACTAAAATATACGTCACTGAAAGTAAAGAAACAAACGTATGAAATGGTTGTATTCTTTCATCTGTGTGTGTGGGTTATAATTGTGACAGTCAACGAAGGACGCTGCTGTCTGATTACCCCCTCTTAAGAACGTTTACGTGCATTTAATTGGCTCAGTAAAAATATTTAGAATTTTGGATGTTTTTTTTTAAATTGATTCTCTGTTATAACCATTATGTTACAGGAAATCATGCCACCAGCTACACTAGTGATCGTCAGTGTGTGTGCCTTAGTCTGCGCATGTTCCAAAGCTGACAGTTCTGTGGTGAAACGGGAAGATAATCAAAGTAATGCCAGTTCGACCCGACGACAAGTTAGCTCTAGTAATCCATCCAAGGGTAACCTGTACTATTACTACTATCCCGTCCAGGAGAAGAAGAGACAGTCTGTAGGAGATTACGAAACTTCTGCCTCCAATTATAACCCTGTCAGTGCTCCTTACGACTCCAATTTAGGAGAGAACCTTGGAGCTTCTTCGGTATACCAGGGAGCAGCAAGTAACCAAAATGCCGCGTTATATGGAGGTCAGGGCGCGGGATTTGGTGGTGTAAACGGCTTCACAGGCGGTGATTTCGGAGGTGTCGGCGCTGCCAGCGATATAAGCCAGGTTAACCCTGGGGGTTACGGTGGCTTAGCAGCGCCGACTGGAGGCTATGGAGTTAACAGTGTTCCAGCTCAAACAGCCGCAGGAGTCTACGGACTCGGAACACCGAGCGGAATTAGTCAGTTGACTGCTGCAGGCTATGGCGGCGGCGGTCTGGGGGTTGCAGGAGGTCCGGGTTTAAATCAGTTTGTGCCAGGAGGTTACGGGACTGGTTTTACACAGGCAGGTGGTTATGGAGGCAACGGAGCAGGTAGTGGATATGGCCAGTTCGGGGTTCCAGGAGGATTCGGTGGTTATGGACAAGGCAATTACGGTGGACATGGTGACCTACGGCCTTCTGCTAGCTCCGCTATAGGATCATTTAGTGCAGAACCCCAATCAGCTCTTGGCTGGGGCTCATTGATAATGCCCATATTAGCTCTGGCTGGTCTAGGACTCCTTTTGCCTTCGGTATCATCATCTCTTACCAGTAGCAGCCGTCGAAAACGTGATACACAAGAGAAAATGGACGTTTTCAGTGGATACCGCAATAAACTGGAGAAATACTACGCCATCTATCGGTCAGCAGTGGAAAACGAGCAATGTCTTAATCGAGTTATTTGTGAACTGGGTAACTCAATGAGTAATGACAAAATTGAAATAATTAGGTAAGAATTTTATGTTTCTGAATTTCATGATAAAATAGTTAATAAATTTGTAAAATCAAACTTCAAAGTCCCTGCATTAACAAGGAAACTAAACTATCTAAAACCGGATCTTAGAATTGTAAAGCATATCCGTTTTTAAACCGGAAGTTGTGTTATAAACATTGTTTGCAAGGGTTAACAATTTTAATAAGATTCTCAGACTATATTTGATTACATTGGTAGTTTATAACAATTGCGTAAGTATGAAAGTATGGAACCATTAAAGCAAACTGTGTATATCAAAGTGAGGATAATTAGTGACCAATTATTTTTTTAAGTAGCTAAGTTTTATTCTAGGTAACTTATAATAATTTAGCTGCAATGCCAGTTAATTATTGAGGATTTGTTTGTTTAATTGTTAAACACAGAGTTATACAATTTACTCTATGTAAGGTGTCCGCGACAGGTATCGAACTCCGCATTTTATTGTTATAAGCCCTTAAGCTAACCGCTTGGCCACCTGGGGAGAACTATTACTGATAAAAGATACATTTTGTGAAAGCAGGAGTTTTGGGGAAAATAGTTCCCAACTCAAGTGATAGTATTTTGTGTTCATATCTAAATAATTAGTTGCTATTAGCTTTTACCCACCAAATTAGAAGTATGAAATACAAACAGATAAATTTTCTACTACTTCTATATATGATACTAGTTAAATACATTATACTTTTAATATTCTGTAAGTTACTTCGTTAATATTATACAGGCTTGGAATCTTTATTTAATGCGGATTTATATCACTAGATGGAAGCGTAACTACATCGAAAACTTTCTGCGTCAGTATGGCTAAGCGGTAGAATTCGGAGTTTGCCCTGTTATCGTCAAGAATTAGAGGGCGCGTTTTGAGGCAGTGAATAAAGAGTTGATTAAAAGGTGTGAAAAAGTATATATTTGACCAAATAGCTAAAGGTTTCTCACTAGTTAGTTACGTTTCAGCATTTACAAAGAAATCAGTGGATTTTATTTTATTTAAAAAGAGCACGAATTATAAGCCACACGAAAAAACGTTTTTTTTTCAAAGTTGGTTAAAACGTGATGTTTTTCTTTGTGGCCTGTTAGTTAGGACACTCAACTCGCAATTTGCAGGTCGCAAGTTCGAATCCCGTCACCTAACATGCTCTTTCAGCCGTAGGGGTGTTATAATGTAACGGTGAATCCCACTTTTCGTTGATAAACAAGTAGCCCAAGAGTTGGCGGTGGGGGGTAAATTCCCTCACTTTAAAATTTGAGACAGCTAGCGCAGATAACATTTTAGTATCTCTGCGCGAAATTCATCAAACAATCAAACACTTATTTCATTTCAAAATTAGGGACGACTAGTGCAGCTAGCCTTTGCGTAAAACTAAATAAAAAATGAAATATTTATATGAGCTAACTTACCCGCAGGATGACCTTCGAGGTTACATGATTTTAAACTGAATGGACTCTATTAACCACAGCTCAGCACGCTAATCATTAGGCCAACCTGTGAACAAATTTAATATTAATTTTCACTCGTGTTAAAGAACGTAATGTTTAACGATAAAGCATTAAGCCTAGATATTTTTATCTTTTGATGTTGTTGTAAGTTTATCAGATTTTACAGAAATATCATCTATATATATATATTTTTTTTGTAGTAATTTAGAAAAATTCATGCCTGAGAAGATAAAGAACAAAATGGAAATTTTCGTGACTGGTGCTTCGTCAACAAAAGTGAACAAATGTTACAAGTACAAATGTTAAGTTGGGTTTACAATCAGACTCGTTTAAGATGGGGACTCGTTACGACAGTGACATCAATCTGTAAAACGATTTCCGAAAAAGCATCCTCCGGTGATTGAATTCAGAAAACAGCTGGGACGCCAGAAGTGGTTTGCAACAGACAAAACAATTAAATCACTGTCTAGCACGTTTTTAGTCGTCGCGCCACCTGTTGGACAGTTCAAGTACAACACTGACATGGTAACAGGGTTGTTCACCTCGATTGTTACTCTCATTAACAATATTTTTCTTTTAGATTTTCTTTGGTTAATGTAGAATACTCAACTAGAGAATATCCTGTATATACTGATTATATTTCTAGCACATATGCACGTATTATTTTAAAAAATTACAACAAGAACGAAACAATGGCTCGTTCCAGTTTTTGAATGATATTTATCTAATTAACAATCTCGGTTTTTATTCGTGAATTAAATGATGTTCAACTTTAGTCCCTACAGTCACATGATTTATTATAGGAAGCATATTTGAAGGTTTTATTCGAACCGCGTTATTAATTTAATAGAACGAGAACTATGTAAGACAAACAACCGCGGTTTGCGGTATAACGGAGGCCGAATTGTGTCTTTGACTAGTGGCTCCGTTAATACATCTCGAGCACAGCAGCAAGTCTGAAGGCTTATAACGCTATAAACCGGGTTTTGCTACCCTTAGTGGGCACTGTACAGATAGCTCATGGTGTAGTTTTGCTTATTTACTAATAAACATTTCGACATGGGTAAAGTTCGTGGCACGTGTAATCGATCACCACCCACGTGCGTGTGAACATCTTCGGAGTAGACGTCGCAGTTGAGTTGGTTATTGGGACACGCAATGTCTGAAAGACAAAGACCTACAACTAAACCAACAGTCTTACTTATGTTCTATTAAATTAAGATATCGGCTCAGTAACTTATGTATTATTACTTTTTTATCGTATGGTTTAAAGTATAAAGACAATAGTAATCAAATTAGAATAAATATAAACGTTTAAGAACTCGGATTTTAAACAATGTAAAATGAGAGCGAATGAATTTGGTTCGATTCCCGCGTTGGAAAAATGACAGATAGGCTATTGTGCACTTTTGACCTTAACTAAGTGACCAAACTGTCTTGAATATCCTGATAAGATACCCCCCCCCCCCGTGGCTTGGCGGTAAGTCCTACAATTCGAGTTAACATACCTGCTATGGACAGAGGACAAAACGTTTTTTATTATTATTTGGGTTATCTAATAATATAGTGCATGGCCGGTCCATGTTAATTTACAGGTTAATTCGTAAGCATGGTATGCAACATTTCATACGTTTGTTTCTTTACTTTCAGTGACGTATATTTTAGTATACAACCATTTCATACGTTTGTGTCTTTACTTTCAGTGACGTATATTTTAGTATACAACCATTTCATTTACTTTCAATGACGTATATTTTAGTGCAATATGTCAGTTAGCATACTGAGTTGCCCTATGAAGGTCCAAGGGATCCTGTCGCAACCCTATGAAGGTCCAAGGGATCCTGTCTTAGAACGAATAACGACTACCCTAATAACTAGAAGTAATAACGACTACCCTAATAACTAGAACTAATAACGACTACCCTAATAACTAGAAGTAATAACGACTATTCTGATAACTAGAAGTGATGACGACTATCCTGATAACTAGAACTAATAATGAATATCCTAATAACTAGAACTAATAACGAATATCCTGATAACTAGAACTAATAACGAATATCCTGATAACTAGACTAATGACGACTATCCTAATGTGGATAAACTAACATAATCACATAACAACTAGTACATTTTTGAGTTTATTAAGTAGTTGTGAACAAGATGCTGGTTTGAAAACAACTGGTCTTGGGTTAATTAATGTATTCTATTCATACCCTTTTCTTTATTAGGATAGTCGTTTAATAACGACTACCCTAATAACTAGAACTAATCTTCTAGTTATTAGGGTAGTCGTTATTACTACTAGTTATTAGGGTAGTCGTTATTACTACTAGTTATTGGGGTAGTCGTTATTAGTTCTAGTTATTAGGGTAGTCGTTATTAGTTCTAGTTATTAGGGTAGTCGTTATTAGTTCTAGTTATTAGGGTAGT